TGACCTAGCTCTAACAGCTTAGTATGTGTGTGTGTGGAGGGGGGTAGCATCAAAAACCAAACTACTGACATTCCATCATTGACGATCGGATACAAAACATCCGTTTCTTGAGCGCTTATTGGGACTTAAAATCAGCCCAAACCTCAAGTGGAACTCGTATATACGATCTATCGGTTAAGATGTTGGAGAAACGTTCGATTCCCGCATCCTGCAAGTACCTTATTCCTCTTGAAATCCTCTACCTTTACAAGAGCCAAATCAGGCAGAAGTTTCTCAGGCTTTATTTTTGATATGCCCCGGAAAGGGATATATTTGATCGAAGTAGCTAAGTGGGTTTGGCTACTGTAACCAAGTAGTACACGGTAGCAGTAATCGACTGGTACTCGTCGTAGTCGCAGGTAATAGGTGTAGACCAATAGAATAGCCAATGGCGTAGTCCAATGGGCGTCGTCATAGACTTAAACTCTGTCGTACCTACACGTCCGTCTGTATTTATGACGGACACCAGTCAATCATATTACAGTGAGGGGGAACACAGGTGTATGCATATTCCATTATATCAATTTTCTAGTCTCGATAGAGTTCAAAAGCGTATCCGCAGCCTTTTGGGTGATGAATTATTTTCCATCCTACAACCTCTTTCTCTCAGACGAAACGTTGCAAGCCTCTAGCTGCTCTATTCCTATTTCCATGAAAAGTGCATTTCTTATTCCCACCAGCTCTAACCTTCACGGCTATGACTCGCCATGGCACGAACATTTTAGAAAACCACCCTTTGTATTCCACTTGTGACATGTAAGTTTCATTCGAGCGGCTTCTTCCCACGAACCCCTGCTTTGTGAAACCGACTCCCGAGAGGATGCTATCCCCATAACAACAATCTTAACCTGTTCAAATTTCGGATTAATCGTTATCTTCCATACATACCCGCGTAACCTGTACCTTTTACTCTGTAAGCCTCTACCTTGAGTCCGTCCTGTGTATGACGATAAAATGCATCCGCGTCCTGGGTAACAGTAAAGCCTCTGACCAGGAGGTTTTGAGGAGCGTGGAACCACCGCTTAATTACTGGTGTTCCCAGGTCCACCCTGACCCGGGGTGGTAGAACCTGTTAGGGCCCCAGTTATGGGCAAATAGTTGACCCCAAAACCTGACCATGAAAATGTAAAAATAGATTTTAATATCAGAAATACTTTGTAAAAAAAAAATAAAAAAATTAGTATCAGCAATAAATTTTAAAAAAAGATCTTATCAGCAATAAAAATCTTGTCAGCATTAAATAACCCATTGAGGTTAATATGCCACAAAACAAAACAAATCAAACTATACATTTTTTGGAAAAAAATATTAAATTACCAGCTATACATTTCTGAAAAAAATACCAGCTATACATTTTTGAAAAAAAAAAGGAAATTTTGTCAGCATTAAATAACCCATTGTGGTTGATATGCCGTAAAACAAAACAAACCAAACCAAACTGATTTCTTACAAAGAATACATATTCTATTCATACGAATCTATGCTAAAAATCTTGTCGGCATTAAATAACCCATTGAGGTTGATATGCTGTAAAACAAAATAAACCAAACAAATCTACTTTGAGTGGCCCTCGGGCTTTGTACAGAGTGAATATCGTTGTAAAAATATCTTCAAGCAAAGTGTCCCAAAATTTCTTAGTTATTTAAAAATGTCATGTCAAATTTGTCAATATTTTTAATTATTTTTTTCAGAATTTAGATTAAGATAGGTAATTACCAATGGAAAAATTCAAAATTGAACAAAGAACCAAAACAGTGGAATTTTATTTTTTTGACAAAAAATGATTATATTGCATCAAGTTCGAGATTTTATTGCGTCCAACTGCAGAACAAACCTAAGATGACGTTTCAAGAAGGTGGAGCCATTGCACACATGGATCGGGCAACAATCGAGTTTCTAAGGCAAATTTTTATTCAAAATCCGAAAATTTATGACCGCCCTGTTCTCGCAATGTGACGCGTCCCGATTATTTTCACTGAAGGAGCGTCAAACTGAGGACAATTCAGCAACTCAGGGATAATATCTGTGTCAAAATATAGTTAAGTAGTAATATATTTCCAGTGTTTGTATTCTTGTACTGAAAACTATTTATGAATAAAAAGAATGTTGAAATTACTAGATTTTTAAATTCCAGGCGATTTCAAAGATACGCTGTATTCTTTACTATTTTTCTTCACAATCAGTGCTACATTGTATTTGAGTGTTATTTACTAATATTAATAATCGTATTGTGATCTCACGTGATGTCTTGATCGATGTGACTACGAATTGCATCAAGTATTGATAAGTATCATGTTAATAGTAATAGTATTAGCCGTTTCCTTATCTGGAAATATTCGACATTCTTTGATCGAGCATCCAGTGGTTTATTTTGATGTTAGACACAAGAAGAAAAGTGCAGAAACTCCAAGACAAAGAAATAAAGGAGCTCAAGAAGAATGGACTAACGTTTAATTGTAAAAAGAAAGAATATGGTTGTTAGAAAGAGAAACATTCGAAAATACGAGCAACGAAGTGAAAATACCAAAATTAAGTATGGAAATTCAACTATCTGGGAATTGTTATAATAGACGACGGGAAACGTGAAACAGACGTCTGAAGGCGTACTGGAATAGCAAAAGGTGCTTTCCAAAGAATTAAGAAACAATAAAATTTCGTTAGAAACAAAGAGTGCTATGTAATATCAATTCTCTTATATGAATGTTGGATAATTTCTTCACAGAATGAAGCGGAGACTGGGGGTAACATAGATGCGATTATATAGAAGTATGCTATGGGAACCTCGAGGCTGTGTAATGGTTAGCAAGCTTGTCTCGCTAGAACAATTACGACTAAATCGTGAGTTCGATCCTCACTAGGTGCCCCCTACTATCAGCCTTGTGCCACATCTAAGCTACTCTTGGAAAATCACTATATAGAAGTATGCTGAGAATGCTATGGACGAAACATGTGATCATCGAAGAAGTTTTAAGAAAAACTTAGAATCATAAACAGACAGTTGAAATTATTTGACACATCATGAGGAAAAAGAACTCAGAGAATTTAGCACTTACAGGATATCCTGAAAGAAGGACATTAACTAATGAACTTGTGCCAATTGCTGGCAGAACAGGGACTGGAAGGGATAGTAAGTAATACGAATAATAGGAAGTTGTGGAGAGCCATGATCTCTCACATCCTCTGAATTGAATGAATATTTTCATCTATTCGTATTGAAAAGTTACTAAAAGAATTTGTTCTTTTTATTTGAAAGTCTTTCTATTTTTTATAGAAATAAAATCCTAAACTAAACTAAGCTTTTCCTTTAATCACACCGTACATACTATTAAATGTTACAAGTGTAGTAATTTGAAAATCTAAATTCACATTTAATGAACAATTATTTAGAGTCAATATGAACAGATTCTTTCGAATTGAAAATTTCTACATCAGACTTCAAAGGATTCAGTCGACAACATCCGGATAAGTTTTCTATAAAGGAGCAGATTTATGCATCAATTAGAAAGGCTCTCAAAATCAGCTTATCTTATTTGACTAACCTTTATATGAAGAACCCTGTCCAATAGCTGAGTCAGAGTCGAGTCCGTAGACGCACTCATATGCACCCATTCAACATACATGTTTTCCAGTCAAAGAGAGTCCACGTTGTAAGCTACCTACACATATATAAATGCACAAATGGTGTTCAATAAGAAATATCCATTTCACTTTACACTATCTTCAAAAATGAAGATTTTGTATTATTTGTTAAAAATAATTATTTCAACTTTTATTGAAAGCACAATTTTTGCCTTCTTTATTTGCTCGCGGATTTTTTGATTTCAATCTTTTGTTTTCACTTAGTTATCACAAGGGATGGCCGAGGAAAAGAGACAAGGGAAAACAACACGTGACATACCTGGTGGACTTAAGAAAGTTGATAACAGAACGTGGTCTGGGGGAGGAAGCAGAGGAAAGGAACTTGTTGTGAGCTGCAAGGGATAGAGGGAGGTGGAGAGCCATGATCGCCTACGTCCTGAAAGGACATGACACATAAAAAGAAAGAATCACAAGGCCATATTTTTGTTGGTCGAAAATAAGTTATCTGGGATCCGAATTAAGAGATTTTCAACTCCACCATACAATTACGAGTGTTAATCTAATATCGCACTGATTTGAGGTGGAATTATTATATTGCATCAATTGCTAGATCTGATACTAGAGCCATGGTTCACTGTTTCGTAACAGACAATTTATCTCGCCGGAATCCATCTTGCCCGTTTATAAATCTACCATTTGTTTGTGCGTTGAATATGGCTTCCAAATCTAGTTTGGTGCTCCTACTCTATATCTCGAGCTCCTTGAAAAAATCCAAAGAAGAGTCTGTAATTTTATCGATCTTGACATGGCATCTCGGCTTCAGTGACTTTCCCAACATCGTAACGTAGCTTCTTTCTGTTTTTCCTATATATATTTTCATCGTAAAATTTTCTGGTGAGCTTTCCTCATTGGTACCTCGACCGCATGAATTAAGCATAGTACTAGAATAGTAACTAGGTTTTACTGTTGAAATAGCTAGATGTAACCGCAAGTTCTATTCTAATAGTTTCACAGCTTATTACAATCAATGCCTTCCCTTTTTGAACACGCTTCTTTTATTGTTGTTTCTCATCTCTCACGTTTTCTAATGTCCTTTCATTACAGTAAGCCAATGAGTCTTAGTGGCACTATCGCCTTGTTGATTAATAAAAATTGGCCGTTGGTAACAAGATACTTTTAAGCCAGAATATTTCTCTGCCTTTTTGCGTGCGTGATGACGACTCTCCTATAACTAGTTGCTAAACTAAAATGGTGTTTTTTTTTATTATTTAAGTTTTTGTTATTTGCTTTTTTTATCTTATAGTACGTTAATTTAGAAAATAAAATAAATTGGTGCCTCACTGACTCGGTGATTCGGTTCACTTTTGCTTGTCATTTGGGAG